ATTTAGGGATGATGGTGATGATGATTCATTATGAAATGGTTCCATTGGATAAAGTTTCATTCCAAACCAACTCCTTTGTCCAACACGGGCAGGTGAGTGGAGCTGATTTCATTCAACATCCATTACATTGTCTTAGCACACTTACAGATAAAGACCCCCTTGGGGCTGTTTCCCTCAGCAAGGGCATACAAGGAGAGGCTAATTGAATTTTATGGACCCTGTCATGGGCATTAATCATATTTGTGCCTGCCCATTATGTTTTGAGTAGTCTTTGAATATTAGGGGAAATCTCTACAGTATATGGCCCTTTCTCCCACAAACAGTTGAATTCTTAGCCTCTCTTGCAGCTGAAATACACTCGTGTGACATAGACATTACCAATCATATAGGATTCCATGTGATTTTGGATTTAAGAGATTAACATGAGGAAAGAGGGTCTGTATTAAGCTTTCCTTCCGTAGGTGGCAGCAGAGCTATCTGGCCTTTGAGGTAGAGGTATTACAAGGTTTAGTTTCCCAGGGCAGAAATGCATCTGATGTGCTCATAGCCGTCACAATTATAGTGAGCTGGAATACTTCCATTATTGCTTAGTCTTGGTAGCAGCAATGGCAACCGATTTCTCACTGGGCCATTTCGGAAGCCAGGTGTTGGCCATTAGCCTTGACATAGTTTCTTCAGTGCTCTTATTGCTTCTATGAACTACCTTCCATTTTAAAAAATGGATCCCTTTTATGGCCTGTACTAGCCAGAACAGACTCAGTTGTTTGTGGCTAAAAAGACTAACCAACACAATTCCCTTCCAATATTTCATTCTTGGAAGTGGGGGAGGTGTACTTACTAATGCATGTTTACAAACATCAAAAAAAATTGAAATAACATTTAATTCTAAAAAGCTTTGTTCATGAGAATATTTACTAATGAGTCTGTACACAAGAATTCAAAGATTCTGGGGAGTTCTTAAATGTTGACAGCATCCAAAAGCTGAATTCAGAAGAGGCACTTCTATCACTAAAGTATTAATATCATAATGCTACACTACTGTATTTTCCTAGTTAAAGAAAGCAGGGGAGGGGCACCTGGGTGGTCCAGTCCATTAAGTGTCTGTTCGGCTCAGGTCATCAAGCCCCGCATCAAGCTCCTTGCTCAGCGGGGAGCCTGCTTTCCCCTCTCCCTCTGCTTCTCCCCCTGCTTATACTCTCTCACACACTCTCTCTCTCTCTCTTTATTTATAAATAAATTAATAAATACAATCTTAAAAAAAATTTTTTTAAAGTAGAAGAAATTCCATTTTGATGGTTTTATAGAACTACAGATGTTAGGGAAATAGCACAAACACCATCTTGTCACATAGGCGACATCAAAGAATTTCCACACTAATTGTTTTCCAGATATTTTTCATTCTTTTTATACATTTGTAGCATTTATAAATCTAGAGCCCCATGTGGTACAGTTGGAGTAGTGTCACTTTCAAGGAAGCACAGACCATACCCAAGTTTCAGATAACGGTCCTGCCTCAAAGAACAATGGGAGTGACCCAAGGATAGAGTCCAGCCCCTCATTATCTCCTATCCTACCTTCTCCCCCTCAATCTGATGCACTGCCCTGGATTGTTGCTCAAGCACCTTTCAAGTTAATTGGAGATCATCCATATCTGAGATTAACTGTACTGGAAAAGGGCACTTAAAATGTACTTAACACAGGTTCCAAATTTTCAAAGATATTGAAAAAGTGTTCAGGATTTTATCTTCAAAATGGAAATGGAAATTCAAAAATTTATTTTGTATTTAATAAAATTTCATTTATATTTGCAACTATGTGCCAATTTTCATAATGAACAAACAATGAGTCAAATGTGGATTTTTTTTTACCATAATTTTCCCTGCAAAAATGCATTCTAGCAAAATACAAACATCATTTATTCTTGACTTTCACAGCACTATATTGTAGAAAATTAATTTTGAAAAATTATCATAGGGTTTCTTCATTTTTCTCATGGACACCTTTTTTTTTTTTTTTTTAAGACTTTACTTATTTATTTGACAGAGAGAGATCACAAGTAGGCAGAGAGAGAGGGGAGGAAGCAGGCTCCCTGCTGAGCAGAGTGCCCAATGGGGGGGCTCAATCCCAGGACCCTGAGATCATGACCTGAGCCGAAGGCAGAGGCTTAACGCACTGAGCCACCCAGGTGCCCCTCATGGACTCCTTTTTAATATTTTGGCATTAAAAATCATTCTTTTTTTAAGGGACTTTGGTCAGCAACCTTCTTTAGTTTTTTCCGTCAGTTCATCAGAGTAACTCATCCAAGTCTTCATTCATCAAAAGAAGCCCATCATCCTCCCACTTCTTTCAACCTCACTTGCAATCATTTTATAAATTCTGGATCTTTTACAAGATCAATACAGCACTATGGATTGAAAGTGCACTGTTATTTACATTGCATTTTCAGATGTTTACAAAGCTGATGAATTGACCAGAGACTAACCAACAAAGATGTTGACATATTGGGCCTAGCTAGATGCTAATGTTGTGTAGCAAGAAATGTTTGGGGACTAATTTTATAAGTGGTCGGTTCATTGGCGAATATTTCCATATTTCCATGACTTAGATTCTCTGTGCAACCTACTTAACTGCAGAGATTGGGTAATATATACCTTGGAAAATAAGGATCACTTCACTTAACACTCTGCTTTTCTTTCTAGAATCTACCACTGGGCTTTCATCCTCTCTACCCCTGTCCCTGACTAGGCCTGGAGTTCTTTGGCTCCCTGCCCATTATGCCAGTTCTGCATCACTAAAGTCCAGAAATCAGTCTCACAGAAATGGACCCTACACACACGTTCAAAGTCCACTTGGGTCTATCTCAATTTTAACATGTTAAGCTTCTCAGGACATTTAAGGGTTATAATTTTCATCTTGGAGCTGTAGTTCCAAGACAAATACGTTTTTCTAAGAGCAAATACTCTTAAAATCATATGGTAACATCAATGTCTTCCTGTGGGTCTCAACAACAACAGAACCATCGGTGTTGCAAGCCTGACTCTTTAGTGAGGATAGGAACACAGTCATCATTCTATAAATTAAGAAAAGAAAATACTGTTGCATACTTATGTTCAAATAGTTTTCTATGTATTGGGACAGGTTTAATACTTTGTTTTTGAATTTTAACGTTTAAAAACTTAGCTTAGTCCTAGGACTGAAGTATTTTCTGGCTATGATGACTTCAGATCATTACCAGAAAGTGAATTGAGCAATATTTTCACTTTATAATTTAAAACTTTGACTTTTTCACAAAATATCATCTAAAACACTTATGCTGTTGAATAGCATATTCTTGAAATGTGTGCAAAATAAACAATCATTTATTTTCCTTTTTGGTGTTTTAAAGCAATTTTTATTGGGTTGAGGGTGTAGGTTTTAGGATATAATGTAGTTTGCCAAATTCTGTAATCTTTTCTTTCTTTCTTTCTTTTTTAATGTCATAAACAGGGTGTGGTGCCTTTAGAGAACTTTTTACAAGTTGTAGTTCTTGGTCTTTTTTTTTTCCTTCATTTTTTCAAAAATAGTAAGATAATCTAAACCCCATAGGGAAATTCTGGTTTCTACTATTGTTTCCTGGGTTTCTCACTATTAAAAGACAAATTATTCCCTGTAGCTAGTTTTTACTTATTTTCTTGCTAGGAGTGTTTACATTCTTAACATTGTAAGTTCATTATTAGAAATGAAATCTTGGCAAGAACTATTTCAGTGGTGGTTTTTGGTTTTTGTTGTTTGGTTAGAAAGGCAAAAATAATTTAGAGGGAACAGCATATATGGGGCATCTAGATTCAGCTATATCCCTCTTGTGGTGATGTGGTTGTTGAGTATCTCAATGAATCCATTCTGTTCTTGTTTTTCTTTTATTAATTCCTAGCTATTGGAAAGCACTTAACAAAATAAGGTGTTTAAAATTCTTTTTCTTTAATTAAATAAAGTCTTGATTCCACAAGGCTGGAATTGTTCTTCTTAGAAAAACAAATTTTCTGTGAATTCTAACTCATTAATGTTACAGAAAGAAATTGTTGGAAAAGATTCTTTAAGAACAGAGAGATGCCGGCAACTAAACACCATTTTCAGAACAGAACATGGTGAGATCTCCTGATCTGGGTTCCATCTTCATTATCTGACACAGTTGACATAGTTAATGGCAATTCACTCACAAATCGCTTGGCTGAAAATACAGTTTTAAATCCCTGCACAGAAAACAGTTTCCCTATTCTCACACATCAGTAAAAACAGAGAAGAATCTATTGAGGGAGCGTTTAAAGTAAAAAGATAAGAGCAGGAGTTAAAATTTGATAGAACGCCCCTCTGGTTCCCCCTTTTCTTGCCTTAGATCTGTGTGTTTGAAGGCGACAGAAATAAAGAGGAAACCCCAGTTTTCCAGCAACCAGCAAGCGCTAACACTTTTTTTTTTTTTTTTTTAAGCAATTAAGTTAAACCACTCTCCAAAGCAAGCCATGACCCCCTCTCTGTGAATCGTCTGTGGATACCGAAGTCGGGTCCCGCTTGGGTACCACTCGGCAGGTTTCCCCCTCCCTTTCTCCCCACAGGCCCTGCGGGCGGGATGTGACAGGCGCTGCGGGTCCCGGGGGGCCAGAGAGGAGACGCCCGCCGGCCCCAGGAGAGGAGGCGGCTCCGGCCTGAGAGCCGCCCCCTCCCGCCGCCGGAGAACAAACGGGATATTCAGCAGTGGCCTGTGGCTGCCAGAGCAACTCCTCTGGGGAAATTCAGCGTCGAGGCAGCGTGCACCGTGATTGCCTTTAAAAGCGCCCCACCCGCCCGCCGCGCACACCCGGATACCTGGGCTGTCCCGCGGCTGCGTGCGCACGTGTGTGTGCTCGTGTGTGTGTGTGTGCTCGTGTGTGTGTGTGTGTGTGTGTGTGTGTGTACGTGTGTGTGCTCGTGTGTGTGTGTGTGTGTGTGTGTGTGTGTGTGTGTGTGTGTGTGTGTGTGTGTGTGACAGAGAAAGGGCGGGGAAGCGAGCCGGACGTGTGCGGCGCGCGAGCCTGTGTTTCTCCCCGTGTGTGCCAGAGTGTGAGCCTTGGGAGGTGCGACCCGGTGTGCGGACCGGCGTGCGCGCTGGGGTGGGAGCGAGCGGAGCGCGTCTACACCGGCCATGAGGGGCGCGGGCGCCTGGGCCGCGCTCTGCCTGCTGCTGGCCGTGGCCGCGCAGCTCTCCCGGCAGCAGCCCCCGGAGAGGTAACGCGACCCCCGCCCGGGCTCCCTCTCTCCCCGCCTCTGTCCCGCTGTCCTGCAGCCTTGCCCCGTGGTTTTACTGCAGCCGCGTAGGGGCGCCCGGGGATCCGGCGCGCGACCCCAAGCTCACCCGGGCTCGGGCGCCCGCTGCCCCCACGAGGACGGCCCCCCGCTCGGCCGCGCGCCCCCGGGGAGGCCAGCCCGACCTCCCGCCGCTGGCCGCACCACCACGTGGCGGGGGCTGAAGGGGACCGGCGCCTCCTCTCCCCGAGTGCGTCTGCGGGCGGACGGAGGCACGAGGGCCCGAGGCTGCGGTCTTTGCTTTTTCACTTCTGCTTTACTCCCCCGGGAGGCTTGGCCCAGAGACTGAAAGCCTCGGGGAAAACCCGAGTCGCGCGGCGCGCGGGGAGCCACTCCCGGAAAGTTAACCCTTCGTCAGCCCCCGTCAGGGCTGCCAGACCGCCCAGGACCTGGGCTGGGGGACCCGTCCCGTGCCCACCTTTGGCATCTCCTCTTCCACCTCCATCACCAGCAGCCTCCCTTTATAAATGCGAGGCTCTGCCAATGGTTAATGGTTTTCAGAAAAGGGGAGGAGAAGTAGGCATCTCTCCACATCTAGGAAATTAAAACTTTTTAAATCTATTGCTTGTCTGTCTTTAAGACCATGTACCTCGCCTAGCTCTCACCTTCTTTCACTCACCTCCACTCCCCGGTTAAATTTTCCATTGACTATTTCCCCATCAACTTTTACCCCTACGTGGAGCATTTGATTGCTTATGGATAGATGGATAAACAGATGTTGTGTTATGAGGATGGAGATGGCAACTGGACAGAATGTTTTATTAGACTGTAATTTAAAAATTCTCAACTAGCAAGTTTCAAATCCCTTATATTTCAAATCCCTTATATGGTGCAAACATTTATTAATCAATATTAACTTTATCCATATTTAGAAGCTACAACCTTTCTGAAGTTGACATTAGATTGTTAAATCCAGTTTCAAATTAAGTTTCCTTCTTTTATTTTCCCAGACCTGTTTTCACATGTGGCGGCATTCTTACTGGAGAGTCTGGATTTATTGGCAGCGAAGGTTTCCCTGGAGTGTACCCTCCAAATAGCAAATGTACTTGGAAAATCACAGTAAGCGTTTTTGGTTTTTTTTTTTTTTTTTTTTAAGGGTATTCTCCTGGAAGTGGGTATTGGAAACAGTGGAAGGCTGCTGCATTTTTCCTCTGGTGTGAGGATTTGGGTAGGGGGCAAATGCCTGAAATAGTAAAATGTTGGATTTACCTCAACTGTTTGGGAGATTTTTATTAATAGAACTAGTGGTGTCCTGCATTAGTGATTAGAAAGGGCACAAGATAACGGTTGAAGGAATAAATTCTTAAAGCAGATGTGTTCCTGAAAACCCATCCTGATCCAGCTGAGTTTCATGGATTCAAAATTAAGGCTGTTTTCAAAGTCCTGTCCTAATGACTTTTAGAATCCATTTGTTACCTGTGCATTACATAAATGTCTCCCAGTGGGGAATAGAAGAGCAAAGGTAATGCTCATCCCTCATTACTTTATACCCACTATGGGTGAAAGGGAAAAGAAAAAGGAAAAAAGAAAATCCCACTTAATGTCCCTGACTTAAAACCACCACTAAAGGCAGTTTAAGAATAGAGAATAATAATAATTGTGGGGTAGGGTGGGAAAGTGTAAACAGCAAACAAAGGCTAATAAAATGCCCATGCAGTGAGCAATGACATAGATTATGCTGAGTCAAAAACTCGGATTTCCAGACAGCCATCTTAAAAAAGAAGTCTGGATTTAGAATCAGCTAGAATGAGTCATCTTACCAGTCAGTGTGATAGTGAGTCTTCTTCATTTTTTCATTGTTGGGAAGTTATTTGGTAATTGAACACATTGGTTCACTGAGAGCTTTAGTCCATCAGATTGTGCTACCCACTGATTATAATTTTTAAAAGTAGCTACCTCTCTCTGCACACTTAATGTGTACTAGACACTGTACCAAGTAGCTAACAAGCATAACCTCACTGAATCTTTGAAATCACTCTGAGAAAGTGACCCTTATATCCCCATATTATAGATGGGGAAGCTGAGGCCTAGAACAGTTATGTAAATTGACTTGATCAGACATTTGGTAAGTCCAACTTTATGTATGAATGAAACCTGTTTTGCAGTGAGGCATTCTTACCAACAGGCAAATATTTGGGGTCCCCCTCCTTAATAGAAGGTGTGGCTTCTGTCTACACTGATACTTTCCTATAAAATATTGACTGTCTGATGAACTGATGCAAATTTCATTGTGTTATTGCAACACATGGGGCTAGGAGAGAATATGTCATAAAAAACAGCTTTGAAATATTGATATTAGCATAAATGTGAAATAAGGCTTCAAAATAAACATGTAACTTGGTTTTCATATTATAGTTGTGTTTCAGTTGCAATTTAATGGATTTAAGTTATAAACAGTCCAAGGATATTAATAACTGAGGGGCATCGTGTACCTAACAAGTAGAAATTCATGGTTGGCTATATATTTAGGGTATTATGGGCATTGTTGGTGTGGCATCAAACTTTGATGGGTGAAGGGTATCCAGGGGGCTTTCCTTGGTAAAGAAGTGGTAGGCTTCTGGAGAGGACTGACTGACTACCATATTCTTATGTGGGGGAAAGGAAAGTATAGTGGATGTTCTATTTGGATGCTGTGTAAAGGTAAGGCATATGGGCTCAACAGTCAGACTTCTCTGGATTCAAATTCTCATTCTGTCACCCATAAATTGTATGACCAGGACTCCTCTTTTTTAAACCTCGGAATTGTTGTGAAGATAAAATGGGTTAGTACATGTAAAGCCCCTTGGCTCAGTGTTGTGGTTGTAATAAAGTACTTAATAAATGTTAGCCATCACCATTATCATTTTCATTATCCTCATTATTGTTGGTATTGACTTCCCATTCCTTCTGACCCTTGGTCAATTTGGCAGATCACTGTTACCCCCTTACCTCACTGGCTAAGCTGTGCTTGGCATCAGCTCAGAATAGCTCAAATCTTGCCGAACAATCTACTTTGTCATCTATATCTAGGAAGAATTATTTCTGTGTTGGGTTCTCCTGTAATCTTACTGAAAAGATTCCGTGTGAGTCAGAATTAGGTCAGCTTCCAATAACAGTGGCCTAGAACAACAATGGCTCTGACAGAACTTTGGTTCTCTCTCACATAAGGGAATCTACAGGTAAGCAATCCAAGATTGGGGGGGCAGCTTCAAGCCAGTAGGCACTCTGTATCTTTGTCTCCCCCTGCTTTGCCATACTCAGATGTGTGCTCGAGTTCCAGCCATCATGTTTACATTTCAGCCAACAAAAAGGAGGCAAAGAAGAGCATGTGTCTTCCCTTTAAGGACATTGTGCATAATTACATGCAACTCGCTGCTTACATTTCATTGGCTGGTTCTTAGTTACACCGCCACTTCTCTCTGCAAGAAAGCTGAGAAAGGAATGCTTCATTTCAGGTGTCCATGTGCTCTGCTAAAATTCAAAAGCCTTCTTTTGAGTAAAAGTTTTCTATCAGCTGTGGAAAGAAGGGAAAACAGGCAGACGACAAGCAGTCTCTGTGGCATATTTATTTGTGGTTTTCTCAGGCTGTCTGAAGTGATGTTCATGAAGTTGAGTAACAAATATCAGCCTTTTTGGAAAAGAAAAAAATTTTTTTTAAAGAAAGTATAGGTAATATAGAAGAAAGGATTACACAATTTGCTTTTCTAGTCGAAAGCTTAATAGTTTTCACTCTTAGTCAGTTGAGTTTATTCTACTCCAAGGGGCTGGGTCTTCTATGTTTGCATGAGTTGCCACCAAGAACTTCCAGAGAAGCCCAGCATGTTCTCCTGGTTATAATTACTGCCTCTGTTGTGCACAAAGGCCATGGGTGCTCTCAAGGTCTTAGTTTGACAACATTTTTATTTCTTTGTATTTCACAGAGAATAGCACTAACTCATTTGTTAAAATCTTCTTAATTCTTCTTCACAGTCCTCTGGCTTGTCAGAGTAGCAGAAGGGAGCTCCCCAGCTCCCATATATCCTAGGGAACATAAAAAGAGGAGAACTGTGGTAGCTCTAAAGCTGGTGACCCTGAGGTCTCTCACTCATTCAACAAATGTGCTTTGAGTGCTGGGTGCTATTTGGGTTATGGTAGCAAACAAGGCAGCCAAACTCCTTACCGTCATGCAGCTAGCATTTTAGTTTGGGGATATAGGCGATTAATGTTTAAATAAACAAAAAAGAAAATATGAAGTAGTGATAAATGTATTATAAAAATAAAATAGATACTGCTTCATATCTATTAGGATGGCTATTATAAAGAAATAGAAAATAACAAGTTGGCAAGATATAGAGAAATTGGACCCATTGTGTATTGGTGGTGGGAATGTAAAATAATACAGCATGCTGTGGAAGGTATTTCTCAAGAAATTAAACATTAAAAAAGCAGAATCAGACCTGTACATACAGAGAACAAACTGATGTTTGCCAGAGGAGAGGGAAGGTGCGGGGGGGCAAAATGGGTGAAAGGGAGTGGGAGATACAGGTTTTCGGTTATGAAATGTTAAGTCATGGGGATGAAGGGTGCAGCACAGGGAATGTAGTCAAAGGTATTGTAATAGTGTTGTGTGGTGACAGATGATAGCCACCTAGCATGATGTATAGAGTTGTCCAGTCACTGTGTTGTACACCTGAAACTAATATAACATTGTGTGTCAACTATAATCCAACAAAAAAAAAGAAATTAAACACAGAATTACCATATTATCCAGCATTGCCACTTCTAGGTCTATACCCCAAAGAAGTGAAAGCAGGGACTTGAGCAGATATTTATACATCCATGTTCATGGCAACATTATCACAGTAGCCAAAAAGTGGGAGCAGCCCCAGTATTTATCCACAGATGAAGGAATGAACAAAACGTGGTATAGACATGCAAGAAAACATTATTCATCCTTAAAAAGTAAGAGAATTCGGGGGCACCTGCGTGGCTCGGTCGGTTGGGCGTCTGCCTTTGGCTCGGGTCATGATCTCAGGGTCCTGGGATAGAGCCCCGTGTTGGGCTCCCTGCTCATCGGGGAGTCTCTTCTTCCTCTGCCCCTCCTCTGCTCATGCTCTCTCTCTCAAATAAATAAATAAAATCTTCAGGAAAAAAAAGGGGAGGGGAATTCTGACACATGCTCCAATAGGGACGAACCGTGAAGACATTGTGCTGAGTGAAATAAACCATCACAAAAGAACAAATAGTGCATGATTCTATTTATATGTGGCACCTAGAGTAGTTAGGTTCATAGAGACAGAAAGTAGAATGATGGTTACCAGCCTGGGGGTGGGGAGTTAGTATTTAATGGGAATAGAGTTTCCCTAGGGGAAGATGAAAACGTTCGGAGACAGATGGTGGTGGTGACTGTTGCACAGCAGTGTGTAAAGCTTGTTCTGGCTGCTGTCTAGAGGATGCGTTGTGGGGAGTTGAGAATGGAGCAAGGAGACCAATTAGGAAGCTAATGTGGCATCCAGGAGAGAGAAGATGGTGGATTGAACAAGGGCGGTAACAAAGGAGATGAAAAAACATGGAATATTCTGCCCAGAGCAGCTCTCTCAGCAGTTATGAGTGCAGTTAGGATATAGTGGCTCCAGCCGAAAGGCTGGATACACCAGGCTTTGGGCCCTGGCTTGGCAGCTGCTCCAGATGCGGCTGAGCTCTGGTATGACCTCATCCAAGGCCGTCTATTAAAGTGTTTCCCAAAGTGGAGGATCTAGTCCATCTTCCTGCTCCTGCAGACAGTAAACCAAGAATAGAATTTCTACTGGGTGGTTCAGTATCACTTTTATTAAACATCACAGAGATGCTTCAGGGCGCCTGGGTGGCTCAGTCGGGTAAGCATCTGCCTTCAGCTCAGGTCATGGTCTCAGGGTCCTGGGATTGGATCCCACATTGGGCTCCATGCTCAGCCAGAAGTCTGCTTCTCCCTCTTCTTCTGTCCCTCCCCTCGGTACTCCCTCCAAATAAACAAATAAAATCGTTTAACAAAAACCATAGAGATGCCTCAAAATGGGAGTCTCAGAGTGGCCCTAAAATTCTAGTTCCTGTAGTTGGAGAAA